CCTGGAAAGAGTGGGTGTCGCGGTCATTCAGGCACCTGCCCTCGCCTTCCGGTCCCGCGGGGAGTCCGGGCGGAGGAAAGTTGTGGCCGGCAGGCCAGCCGCAGCCAGCGAAGAGGCGCTCGCCGGCTGGGTGGTACCGAACTGCCCGAGGTTTTGTATCGGCATCGGTCAGCGCTCCGGGCTCAGTCACCCCAACCCTCTCTGTTTTCTGGGGGAAACTTAAGCTTAGAAGAAAGAAATTTAGTGATGGCTAGCAGAAAAACTGCCTGAGTGGCAGAATCCGTCTGGACTCTGAGCCTCTTTTGTATGAGAAAGAATGTTCCAAACTACAGTTTGCGTTGAACGCAAAAGGTGTTCTTACAGTATTTGTGAGGCTGTATCACTGGCTAATCGTTTGTGTACCACTCTGTCTATAGTGTATTTCTGTTCCTTTAATCTCATATACTATCCCTTCTCTATAATTGCTTGCATCGTAGTATCAAAGCATCTTTCTTTGGCGCGCCTTACGTTACTGTTGGGTCCTTGGACAGTGAACTCTTTAAGTGTGAATGAAAATTAGCTCCGTGTTTCCCTTTAAATTGATACCTAACCCTCCACAAAAGTCATTACCCGCGCTTTGTCAAGCCTGAGCTTGTCTAAGAAACTTCATTTGTGTCTTCCCATTTTTAACGTTTCTTATGTGGAGAAAGAAATTAGTGCTGTGTCTTTATGCAAGGAGACCTGGTCTGTGGTGCTTTTAAGACTAGTTCAGGGCTGAGGGTGTAGCCAAACTAGAGTGCTTTTTAGGGTGAGGCTTAGGGTTCAATCCTCAGAAATGGCAAAAATAAATAATAGTTGTGTTCAGATAATAAAAAGACTGGTAGAAATAAAGAAAAATTCACTGAAAATGTTACCATAGCCCAGTGTGGGGGAGCGTGCCTGTAATCCTAGCATTTAGGTAAGAGGCTGAAGTAAGAGAATTGAAGTTTGAGGCCAGCCTGAACTACATAGCAAGTCCCTGTCTCAGAAGCAAACAAAATGTTTAATTGCACAAACAGTACACAAAATAATTTTTGGGGAAAAACATTATCTTAGATTGACCAAAATTCCTTTAATGTCAGCCACAGCCTCTCACTCCTATGGAGGTAACTGCTGTTAACAGTATGGTATAGAACTCTAGGCATTTTCTTCGGGGTGTATACACATGTGCTTCTCTAGAAGCTTGTAGATTTTATCTTTTTTAAACAACAAAATGTTATAAAATTATTTGCATTGGGCTGGGGAGATACCTCAGCGGATTAAGTGCCTGCTTTGGCAAGCCCAGGGTCCCAGTTGTCAGGCTGGCACGCCGCAGGGGCCGCTGAGCCTGAGCCTGAGCCTGAGCCTGAGTCTGAGTCCGGGCAGGAGTGGTGGCGCAGGCCTATAACCACAGCGCTGGTGAGGCCGAAAACAGGAGGATCACTACAAGTCCGAACTGCATATTGAGACCCTGTACGAAATACATAAATAGAAATAAAAAAGATATACAATTTTTAAAGCTAGTAAATCATGGAGTGTAGGCAACCAGATAATGAGGATCGAGGCCTAAAGGACTTTCTCTTCAAGCACAAAAGAGAAAAACAGCAAGCTGTGCACTGGCAGTATGCAGGCGTGCTTGCACATTGACGGATCCACGGACCAGTGGACACAGCCGAGGTCCAGTTGACCTGGCGTACACCTCATAACAGGAGACCGATGAATCTTCTGCTGCCCTACTTGCTTGTCCCGTCTAATACAAGCTTGTCAATAATAAACTAAGGCTGGTTCCTACAATGGAGTATTTTTTCATGTTGTCATTACTTTAGAAGTATCCAGGCTGGGGAGATAGCTCAGTGGAATAAATGCTTGCCTGGCAAGCACAAGGTCCTGAGTTCAATCCCTGGTACCACCAAAAAGTCTACCCTGCTTTAGAAGTATCCCTGGCATGGGCTCAGTTCAGCTATAATGATTCATGTAGGGCCGGGGAGATGGCTCAGTAGAATAAGTGCTTCCCTAGCAAGCACAAGGGCCTGAGTTCAATCCCTGGTTCCACACACACACACAAAAAAGATTGATGTACGTGTTATCAGTTCAGTTTCACTAAGATTTTTTCATATATATCACCTCCCTAGGGCTAGGATTATATGTATATAATCACATTTATCATAAAGTTCTTGATCATTTACTGGACTAAATAATTACCTATACTTTTTTTTTTTTTTTTTTTTTGTACCAGGAATCAAACTCAGGACCTTACACTTGCCAGGGAGGTGCTGTGCTGCTGAGCTATTTCCCTGGCACCTACCTATGCTTTTGGTCAGTGGTCCAGTCTTTTTTTTATCCATTTCACACATTCAGGTATGCATTTTAACATTTGTTGAGCCTCTGTGATACCCACACATGTTAGATACTGGCAGTCTATAGATGGATATGAGTTTGTCTTTGCTCTGAGATGTCATAATATGTTGGCAAATGGATATGTTTGTAGTTTTATCTACATATGAAAGACCTATCAGATGTCTGCAGATTGTGAGACTCAGTGTCCCCTGTTCCTGGAGAGGTCCCAACTCCACAATACCCTTCATGAGAGCAGTTTTGCTGCAGTTACAGTCCTCAGCTTGTGTATCTGACCCTTGGGAGGTGCAGCAGGTGCAAGTTCTCCAGGGAATCACCTGTTTTCTCTGACAAGAGAATAGTGTTTCAGAAGAAAAGTTGTGGAACAGTGGGCAATTTTTCATATGAAACACTTGATTTAGATTGATCTTAAATTAATTCATGTGTAAAGAATGATTTGTTAGCTGAGCATGGTGACATGCTTGTACTCCAGCCACTCAGGAAGCAGAGACAGGAGGATCCCAAGCTGGGGGCCAGCCTGGGTAACTTAGTGAGACCCTATCTCAAAAAATAAAAAGGGTAGGAGATGTGTGCTCTTGGGTTCAATCCCCAGTATCGACCAATCAACAATTTCTCAACAACAGTTTCAGCAAATAACTCCTTAATAGCATTTGAGTCTGATGTATCTTCCTTGACACTGCAAGAACCCAAGGGGGAGAAAGTTGTCATGTTGGAGAATATTTTGCCAGTCTAAGAAAAGAATAAAGTGAGTGCCTTGGCAAGGACATATATGAACATTCTGCATCCTGTAAATTACATGAGTTGAGGGCAAGATTGATTGGGTCTCCTGGGTTCAGAGGGGAAAAAGTGTTTGAGA